TTGTTCTGTCTTTGCACCTGCCACCTCCTCTTGCCAGAGTAAGAAAGGGAAAGACCCCAACGCCCCGAAGAGGCCCATGTCTGCCTACATGCTGTGGCTGAATGCCAGCCGCGAGAAGATCAAGTCGGACCACCCCGGCATCAGCATCACCGACCTGTCCAAGAAGGCTGGGGAGCTCTGGAAGGGCATGTCCAAGGAGAAGAAAGAGGTGGCCTTGGGTTGGGGGCGTGGCATGTTCTAACTGTCTTTTGGTGGGGTGGGTGTTTGGGGGGGGGGGGGGGGCTGGCAGGGCTGTGTCTGGGGATGATAGGGGTAGTGTTGGGTGTAGGCCTGGAATGGGGAATTCTTGGGGAACCGAATGGAAGAGGTCTTGGAGGCCAACCCAACATGGGGCAGGGGCTGTGTCTTGTTCAGGGAGGGGATAGGGATGGGCATCTGTTTTTGGCAGGCTGGCGAAGCTTGCTCGGGATAGCTTTGTATTTGCTGGGGATCAGAAGTGAAACGGGGCGGGGGCAGGTGAGCAAGGAAGGGCATCACCAACTCTGTGCTCTGGTGGCAGGAGTGGGATCGCAAGGCAGAAGATGCCAAGAGGGACTACGAGAAGGCCATGAAGGAGTACAGCGAGGGGGGCAAATCGGAGAGCTCCAAGAAGTAAGTTGGCTGGGCTGCTGGGAACATGGGTGGGTGATGAAGGGCCGTGGCCCCATCTCATCGGAGGGTAGGCAACGAGATGACGGGGAAAGGTGTGGCCCATGTAGAGTGCGAGGATTGTCTATTTCCTCCCGGCCCTGTGGCACCTGGGCACCTCCACCAGTGCAGTAGGGGCTTGGGATGACCCTCTGATTGTTCGCTGTCCCCCATCCTGCACAGAGAGAAATCCAAAAAGAAGAAGCAGCAGCAGCAGCAGGGGAAGGGGAAAGCAGAGAGGAAAGCGGCACCGTCCAAGGCCCTAGCCAAGTCCCCCGCCAAGCAGCTGGGTGAGAGCTTCAAGAGCAAGGAGTTTGTCTCCAGTGAGGAGAGCTCTGGTGACAACAAGAAGGAGGTAGGTGCGGGTGGGGCAGGAGGGGCTCCTGCCCCGATCTGGCAGCTGTGGCTATATGTGGTCTCCTGTTAACACACTTCCCCCTCCCCCCACAGGACTCAGAGGAGGAGGAAATCGCCAGCACGCCACCCAGCTTGGAGGACTCAGCATCTGGCTCAGATTAGAGCAACTACTCCCCCTCCCTTTAGCCCTGCCTCTTTCCTGACTGCACAGGTCACTGAGTTGAGGCCTAGACACCCCCCACATCCCCACAATGCCCCCACATCCCTTCTGCCAGGGGCATGGGCTGGAGGGGTGACGCGACTGCTCCGTTGGCTAGAACCTGCCCTACTTCTGGACCTTCCCTGACCCCTCCTCCCTCATGGAATTGTAGGACCTGTGCTGAACTCTGGAGAAAGGCAGAGGGTGCTAGAGATCAGGGGAGGGGGCGCACCCCTCCTTTCTCTCCATGCTGTGGGAGACCCCCTGTGTCCTATCAAGAGGCCCTCCCAGCAAACTGGGGGGTCGGGGGGTGGCCCGCGGGCCCTGCAGGGGGGAGCTGGCTGGCTGGGAGGGGTCCGTCCCTTGGCCTGTAGTCAGGCTGTATCGGTGTTTTTTATGTTCTGTTTATTTTTGTATTTCTGATCTGTTCACGCGGCAATTGGATGGAATAAAAACCAAGTGACTTTGGACGGAGCGTCTGTCTGTCGCAGCGTGGCCAGGGGACAGATGGACGGATCTCCCAGTGCCGACAGAGCTTCCCCTGTAGAGCAGGCAAAGCCCTACTTTTGCCAGAGGGGGAAGGAGGCCACTCTGGAGCTGTGGTCTCCCCTCCCGACGGCTGCGTTTCCCAGGCATCGCAGCAGGAACAGCTCTGCCTGCAGCATGGGGCTGAATCCAGAGCCTTATCTCACTGCATTCCAGTAAGCTGTGGCCCTAATTGTATTAAAGGCCATCAGGCACCTGGGGGAGCCACCTAATGAAGGAGGCAGTCGATAGCAATGAGGTTTAGCCAAGTGTTAGGGGCTCCTTTCCCTCCCCTCTCCTGCTGCCGGGGCCATCACCAGCCTCAGCAAGGCTGGGAGGGTTGTTACCAAGACTGCTTAATGTAGGGAACTGTAGCCCAGCAGGGGGTGCTGTGGCCCAGGCGGCGGGAGCCTTCCCTTCTTGACATACCCAATACCTCCCAGCTGCGTGTTGCTGAGGGATGCAGTGTCCTGGAGCTCTGGGCAGTTGGTTAGTATCCAATGCTTCCCCTCCACCTGGTTCTGCTAGCAGCTGCCCTTGGGGCTGCATGGAGGGCTGAGAGCCTCATCGCTATCCCTTCTGGGCCTGGAGCTCTGACCAGCTCGAACTGCTCCGAGAGTGGGCGAAGGGGAGTGTGAGGCGCTGAGCAGACGGTGGACGCAGCATCCATCTCCATTACAGCCCTCGCAGGCCTTGCTGCCAGGACAACTAATCTGAGTTGGGGGAAGGAGGCCTGATCTGATTAGAGCCTATTATCAGACCTCAGTGCTCCATTAAAGTGTCTAGGGCTCCACTTCCAATCACCTGTGTGTCAGAGGGCACACGCTGCCTCACTCTAATTGAATCGGGAGTTCTGCCAGGCTGCAGCTCTCCGAGAGGGAAGAGAGCTGTGTGTGCTGGGGGAGGGAGAGGCATGTGCCCCAGAGGCAGTGGCTTTTATAACCAAGGCTGCAGCAGGTTAATTGTGCAGATGGAAGCTGGCTCCCATGGGAAATTCTCCAGGGTCTCATTTCCTTTGGCCTAATTTCTGTGGGTTATTTACCAGAACTCCACAGCTGCCAGGAGTAAATGGGAAGGAAGAGCTGCAGGCAGCCATGGCAACTCCTCTCTTCAAGCACCGTGCGTGTACGACGCTAGAACAGGGGCCCAGCAATGGCGTGGAGTTTAAAACCAGCAGAAACCGCCACATCTGCCCACCTGGACGTTACAGCTTCACAACACCTGCACACTAAACCCAACAACCAAAGTCAGACCAAAGCCTGTGCAGTGTGGGGCCTTTCCCATGGTTGAGAGGTCAATCCTTGAGGGGGCCACTTAGGGATCTGGGGCAAAAATCAGTACTTGGTCCTGCTAGTGAAGGCAGGGGGCTGGACTCGATGACCTTTCGCGGTCCCTTCCAGTTCTAGGAGATAGGTATATCTCCATATATTATATTATTATTATTTTCTTTGTTCCACGGCAGCTGCCCCTTTTCACCTCTCCCATCACACAAGGCTAGAGCATGGTGTAGGTACAACAGCCTCTGCCCTTCCTGCATTCGTCCTGCAATCCTACCACAGCTGTAATGAGGGGGCTGTTTTGCCCTGGGTGCTAGGCAATGTAAGCAGCTGCCATGATGAGACTGGTTGGTCTTATGGGGGTGGCTGCCCGCCAGGGGCAATGTGCAGAGATGCCATGGGTTGGCTGTCCTTACGAGTGAGACTTTCCAGGTGGTGGGTTAGGTCATTGCTTAAGACAGGGGCTCTCAGCTTTGGTCCTTTGTGCCATCCAACAGTCCAGGATTTTAATGTAACCAGCACTTAATAGTTTGGTTTAAAGTGTACACTGATTAATATTGCATATGAAACACTTAACTATCCTAATTCATACTAAAGCCTAGGGCACTTGAGAAGTCTCTATGCAATGCAAACCAGTGGATTTTAATAAAAACAATTATTAGCTGGTTGAAATAAACCCCTAGATGGTTGGAGAGCCCCGAGGACATGAATTTGGCCAGTGTGATTTAAATTTTGAACTGTTATTTTGCAGAACCTGCAAACTTTCAATCAAGTCCTGCTTGTTTTTGGGCAGACTCATATTTTCTTGACCATCAAGTATTTACACACACACACCTCTTCTTGCCTCCTCTCCTGCAGATAGAGCCTGTAGTCTCCATAGTCACCACAGTACACAAGCTTGGAAAGTGGCTTTCCAAGCCCCAAGTCCCAGATGTATTGTCTCTTGCTGTGCCCAAGTAAAAATATTTTAAATCTTTGTTTGTTTATGCAAAATGAGTGAGAAGCTTAGGAATGAGAGTGAAACAGCATGCTAACAAGTGAATCTCACACCCAGAGAGTGACATTTGACGTGTCTGAATGGGGGTGAAATAAATTGAGGGGGACTCTTTAAAGTTTAGCACAATGTGGACAAATGTCCCCTACCCGAGCTATGGCCCTGACCTGCCCTCCTTGCTGGCGGTTTCCCAAGAGATGTTAATTAGCAAACGCTTTCACAAACTGAGCAAGGTGGGCATGAGGGGTGTCAGGAGAGGGGACTCCAACCTCTGGCCCTATCCCTCCAGCATTAAAATTCATGTCCCTCTTACACTAAGGATGCACCAAGGAGCCTTTATTCCCTGGGGGGAGGGCAGAGGAGCAGACTTTAGGGGACAAGGATGGGTGAATAGTTAAGATGTCTTTGGGGCGGGGCAGTGAGGGCTGCAGTGATTCTATTTATTATGGGGCACTGGCTCTGGGGTGCAGGACACCTGATACTGACCTGTGGGGGCTCAGGCTGAGAACGGTGGGGGCTAGTAGCCAGCCCTCTGCAGTTGGCAGGAATGGAGTTGCCTGTTGTGATACCAGCTTGGGTGAATACACACACACTCCCCACGTGAGCTGGGGACAAGATCCCTCCCCCAGTGGGTCCTGGCTCTCCGGCTGGCAGAGACCCAGGGAAGTTCCAGGCTGTGGGGGGTAGGGATGAAGGGGTCATGCCCTAATGATAAAGGGTCTAGGGGAGTGGCGAGACTGGTACTCCAGTAACAGCTGGGGAGGACGCGGTCCATCTGTGGGGCAGGAGAGGGGCCCCTAGGCTCTAGCCCCGCCCTGTATGGCACAGCCTGCCTGTTGGATGATGACTTCAGCAAGGTCACATGTGGCAGTGGGCGTGCCCAGGACGGAATTATTTGCATAGCTCGTGAATATGCAGCAGGGCGCGGAGCCGCCCCGCCCTTGTTTTGCTTCTCATGAATATGCCGCGGAGGGGTCGGGGCGGTGCCGACTCCGAGCGCGGCGCGGAGCCCGGTGAGGAGCGGCCGGGACCCGGGTAGGGAGGGGGCCGGACCCCGGTGTCTGTGTTGAGAGTACCCGGGGGGAGGAGCGTGTGGTGTGATTGGGGGGTGGTTGAGGGTGAGAACAGGGGGTGGGGGGGAGGTGTATGGGTGATTGGGGTCCCAGGATGGGGGGTGCGTGGGGTTGAGGGTGAGAACAGGGGGTGGGGGGGTGTATGGGTGCTTGGGGTCCCAGGTTGGGGGGTGGGTGCTTGTTAGGCTGCAGGTGGTGTAGAAGGGGCCTGGGGTTTTGAGGCTTTGGGAGGGACGAGGCCTGGGGAGGAGCAGGAAAGTCACAAACTTTGCTGAGTATAACAACTCTGGGGTGGGGAGGCACTGGCAGCAGGGACGGGGTGATGGAGGAGAGGAACACATGGGGTGGGAAAGGGTGGGGGGAGGGGCAGGCTATGGATGCCAGGGTGGGGGGGTTCCCCTGCCAGACACAGTGTGTCACTGGGGGTCTCAGTGCAGTGTTCCCAGGGTGCCCCTCACTAGCATCACTGATCCTCAGCCGCACCCTGGGGCTGATCCCAGCTTCCCCTCCCTGGCCTGCGGCCTCGGGCCTTGGCCTCTGCCTGCCCTGGACCTGCATCTCCTCCACGGCTCCTCCCATCGGTTGGCCATGCCCTCTGGGCCCTTGCCAGAGCCAGGCCCTGGACCAGCTCATAGAGTTGTGTGTGTTTGTGTCTCTGGGAGCACCCGGTCTGATCAGGCAGGGCTCACAGTGCCACCCTCAGCCACTCGGCCCCAGGTTTCTGTCAGGGGTGCACCCCTCCCCACGACCCTCCCACTTGAAGCCCTGCCTGTGCCCTCATCAGCAATGCACTCTTTCCTGACCACCCCTCCCTGCATCCACCCCCTGCCTGCCTACAGCTGGACATGCCCTGCTGCCTCCAGCCCTGCCTGGCCGTGTTTGTCCAGCACCTTGGTCCCAGCTTCCCCACTGCAGCTGCTGACTCCCTTCTCCTCCCCAGCGCTCTCCATCTGCACAGCTCCCTGCCACCCTTCCCCTCCCCTTCCCATTCCCAGTTCCCTCCCTCCTGCAGCACCCTGGGCTGGTTTCCCTCTGGCTACAATGGCTCATAGCCACTCTCTGCAAAGTAGCTAATCAGCTTCTCCTTCCTGCTGGAGGGGGAAGGTGAAGGCTCAGCTTCGCCTTTCACCCTCCTGAATCTGAGCACCTGGTTAGCTGGGCTGTCCCCTAGCTCTGCAGGTGTCGGAGTCCCTGCGAGCAAGGGCTTGGTCCTGTCCATTGCACTGTGCTGCTCCCTGGAGCCATGCTGGGCTTGGCCCTCTTGCTTTTTTCACTTTGCCTCCCCAGGCTTGGGCCTGGTCTGCACTACACAGTTAGGTCAACCTAACTCTGTCAGTGTCTACACTACAATGGGGCTCCTGCTGATGTAAGTCCCCACTACGCCGACTTAATAACCACCTCTGGTGGAGGAGTAGTGCTTAGGGCGATGCAGTGTCTGTGTAGACGCTGCGTTACTTACGTTGCCTGTTGGCTGTCAGCCCTGCATGGGGCTGACAACTGGAGTCCCCCACCCCCATTCCTGGTGCTGACAGCCTGAGCTGAAAGATGGGCATGGGACGCATAGCTGGAGTCCCCACCACCACCCAGCATTGACAGCCTGAGTTGTCATCCCAGCATGGGGCTCACAGCTGGAACTGCCCTCTGCCCTGGGGCCCCAGCTCTGAGCCAGGGGGCTCAATTTCACAGCAGAGAGCCAACCAGATGCAATTATTTCACATTTTGTGAGCCCTGTGTTGCTGTCAGTGCCCCACAATGAGCCACTTCAGTCGGTGCAAGCGCTCCTGATGAGGATGTGCACCACCAGCAGAAGGAAGGCAGTGTGGACACCAACAGCTGATTTAATTGCTGTGGTGGCTGTAGGTCGACCTAATTGAAGTAGACCTAATTTTGTACTGTAGACAAACCCTTGGTCTCCTGTGCACCACCTTTAGCTGTGACTGTGTAGCTTTGGACTCCTCCCTGCTCGCTCCCTCTGCCTGTCCTAAGGGCAGGTCCACACTGGGGCGGGGGATCGATCTAGGAAACGCAACTTCAGCTACGAGAATAGCGTAGCTGAAGTCGACGTTTCCTAGATCAAACTAAATTTACTTACTTCGGGTCCACGCGGCGCAGGCAGGCTCCCCCGTCGACAGCGCTTCCTCCTCTCGGCGAGCAGGAGTTCCGCAGTCGACGGGGGAGCGCTTCTGGGATTGATCTATCGCGTCCAGATGAGACGCGATAAATCGATCCCAGAAGATCGATCTCTACCCGCCGAATCAGGCGGGTAGTGTGGACCAGCCCTAAGAGAGCTCCTGGCTTGGTTTGAACATTTCCCATATGAACATGGAGGTGTCCCGGGGAAGACCTGCCTCAGAGGCCTGGCACCCTTGGGTATTCCCTCCCCTGCTTCAGCTTACCCTCTGCTGGTAACCTTGGCCTCCTTCTGCCTGAACTTTCCTCCATCCCAAGGCCTGGTCTCCACTTAAAATCTACACTAGAAACTTGCATCAGCATCGCTGTAGCGCTTGTGGTGAAGCCGACGGGAGAGAGGTTGGTAGCTACGTTGGCAGGAGAAGCTTTCCCGCCAACACAGTGCTCCCTACACTGAGGGTTAGGTCAGTATAACTACGTCACTCAGGGTGTGGATTTTTCACACCCTTGAGTGATGTAGTGATACTGAAGTAAGTGTGTAGTGTATATAGACCTAGCCTTAGGCTGACATACTTTCTGCACTCAGAGGCGTGAATAATCCATGTGTAGTGGACAGATGAATGCTCTATCGGACTAGCTACTGTCGCTCAGGGAGGTGGTGGAAAACCCTTGTCCGTCGCTGTAGCATGTATCTACTACAGCGTTACAGCGGCATAGCTACAGCACCTTAACTGTGCTGCTGTAATGCCTGTAGTGTAAACATGGCCCAAGTCTCCTTTGCTTGCTATTCTGCCTGTGGACTCTATCTCTATTGAGGCTCCTCCCCCAGGGATCTCCTCTCACCTTGATGATTAGGTTCCCTTCTCCATGTCCCAGTGTGGCCAGAAGCCACCATCCTCCTCCTTGCACCTACACAGAACCCCAGCCACGGCTCCCCTGTCCTTGGACTTCTCCTTTGGGTCCATGATTGGCTGTAGACATGGTCTACATGGTTGGTCCTGTTCTCAACCCCCTCTGTGGAGCTACTCTGAAACCTGTTATTTTAGTAAGTATTTGATGACTGGCTCTTCAGTCTAGCAGACAAAGATCTAACGAGCCAAGGCTGAAGCTAAACAAATTCAGACTGGAAATAAGGTGGACATTTTTAACAACGAGGGGAATTAACCATTGGACCAACTTATCAAGCCTTGTGGTAGATTCTCCAGTACTGGCAAATTTTCAATCAAGAGGGGACGTTTTCCTAAAAGCTCTGCTCTAGTTGGTCAGGGAAGTCCTATGGCCAATGTTACAGATGATTACTGTAGACCCTTCTAAGTTCTATGACTATCCCATGAACCCTGTAGCCGGCTCTTCAATCCCTCTACTTGACCTCCTCCCTGAGCCTTCTCCTTTGGTGGCCCCTGAGACTCACCTTCCTCCCAGGACTCATCTGGAAGCAGCTTAATTCTCCCTGGGGCCCAAACAGCTCTTAAAACCTCTTCCACTTGATTCCTCGCCTGGGGATCACCCGTGCTGTAATTGAATCGCTGTGTAATGGTTCAGTTATCTCTGCAGAGCCCCCAGGGGCCTGGCCTGATCTGTGTGGTTGTCTGCAATGGTGTTGGGGGTATGTCACTTTGGGGGTGCAGGAGGATTCCCCAGGAGTGGTACAGGTTGGGGGTACAGATCACCAGGGGAGCATCCCTCCATGACCATCCTTGCCTCCCCCAGCGCCTGCCCACTGAACCACTTGCCCCCCTGCAGGCAGGAGAGCTGGAGATGTTCAGATCCTGCCTATGTTCAGTCTGGCTTGGCACAAGCTGGGATCTCTTACCCACCGAAGGGAGAGCACTGTGCGGGGTCTCAGAGCAAAGCTCAGGGGACCAGGAGGTAGGGGAGGGATGCTGCCTGCTGGCCAGTGGTGATAGCACTAGGAATCCTCACTCAGTTGGCAGGTCTGGTGATGCCAGGGCGTGGTGTGTGAGGGAGGCAAGGGCCATGCCCAGGAGGCTGCAGCAGTGTTGGGAAGAAGCAGGAGAACATCAGGGGGCACAAGAGAAGTGGGCATGAGGAAGAGGGAGGAGTGGGAAGGGGGTATTGACATGGGGGGAGGCAGGGTGTGGGGAAGGGGGCTGTGTGTGGATGGGACATGGGGGTATTGGCATGGGGAGGCAGTGTGTGGGGGAGGGGTGGTGAAGTGTGGGGGGTACTGGCACAGTGGAGGGAAGGGAGGGTTGTGGTGTGGATGGGATATAGGGGGTATTGGCCTGGGGGAGGTAGGATGTGGGTGAAGGGGCACAGTATTATGGGGGTGTGGGGAGTATTGGCATGGGGGGGAGGCAGAGGGTGGATGCAATGTCGAGGGGGTTGGCACAGTAGGAAAAGGCAGGTTTGTGGAGGGGGCATAGTGTTATGGGGGGGGTATTGGTACGGGGGGGGGAAGCAACTTCCGCATGCCCATTCTTCCCTGATTCTTGTTCTGCCCCAGCCCTTGTGGCCCGTCCTGCCCCGCCCTCCCAGCACCCCCC